ATATATATATATGTTACATACATTATTACTCATAATTCACTGTGAGTAATTAGGGTAGACGGGAGGTGTCCTAATTTTATAATTAGGTCTATGTATTTATATTTATTTGCATTTATATCAATGATTTGAATAGTAAGCTTAAAAAAAAGCTTAAAAACCTCAAATGCGGTTGGCAAATCCGTAACTTTAGTTGCGTTGATGATATGATTATTCTGACTCCTTGTGTAGGCATAAGTACTCTAAGCTAATTTGTGAATGAGAATAAAAATATGCAAGTAACCATGATACTCTGCATAATGATAAGGAAAGTAAGTTTACCATAATATTATTGGCCTAATAACTTTTCGTTCCAAGATCTCGTAATCTTATCGTGATCATACTGCCGCCAACCACTTGTTACAAGCACTACGTAATTAGGCCATCTTACAACCTGCCTAATTACAATGATAATATAATGATGATAATGATGATGATGTAATAATAATGTTTTTTCTTCTCTCAGGTTGAGAGATGAAGACAATTATGATATATGGAAAAGAGTGGACGGAGCTTTATGATAATGACAAGGATGATAATGTTGATAATGAAAGTGATAATTTAATGATAAGGATAATGATAATGATAACGGGCTGGTTTTGTATTAATTGAATGAATATTGCTGATGGTCTCGAATTGGATTGCTAAATGTAATCGAGGGTGTACAAACCTACACGTGAGGCGCTATACAAATCCAGAATTATTATTATCATTATTATTATTATTATTATTATTATTATTATTATTATTATTATTATTATTATTATTATTATTATTATTATTATTATTATTATTATTATTATCATCATTATTATTATCATTATTATTATTATTATTATTATTATTATTATCATCATCATCATCATCATCATCATCATCATCTTTGCTATTGAGTATAACACGTCCACACGCGCACACGTATTATAATAGTGACGTGTGAGGTGTGGACATTTTAAGTATGGGACGATGATCAAGACGGATTCCAAGAATATTCACAGAACCCGGATTGGATGGAGTTGCCTTGCCTTTAAACAAGCGACGCGCTTCCCGTATTCCATATCATAAACCACAAAGATAATCTATTAAGGTACACATCAACATAATTATATTTTTATTAATTTGCGTATTATTTCTTCAAATCAAAAGTAATGCTTGAATTATTTAACAGCCAATTTAAGGGTCTACCCTACAAAGAGTTTATAAACTAGTCTATTGATTGGCTTATCATAATAATAATAATAATAATAATAATAATAATTATTATTATTATTATTATTATTATTATTATTATTATTGTTATTATTATTATCATTTTTATTATTATTATTATTATTATCAACTTCATCATTATTATTATTATTATTACGGTATATTGTTATTATTAATATTATTGTTGTTGTTGAAATTTATTGTTATAGAATATTAGCCGGACACCGTGACTATCGTTAAAGACGAATGAATGATCATTTTTCAATACCATAATTTATTGCATAGCAAAATACTTATCAAAATTCTTGGAATGTATCCTGTAAGGATTATAATAGAATGTTTGTATAACAATTAAGTCTTAAAATATAACATATAGTAGGCCTATATGCATTAATATATATAAGTATATATATATATATATATATATGTATGTATAGTAAATCAATGTTTATATAATATACATGTACATACATTATATATAAATTGATTTTATACATACTATATATGTGTATATACTACCGTATTAGGTACACCTACTTACAATATGCTGTCATAATAATACATACAGTATAATATATTTGTAAAACATACAATTAGTTTAAATTAAGCTATTTTAAAGCAAATTAACATAAATTGCGCATATCTAATATGCCATAAATGACGAAACAAGGTAAAATACTTGCATAATAATAACTGGACTACCACAGATAGCATTGATTCATATCATATACAAAATGATAAACAAAATTTCATACTGCTAACTATATGAAATTTTAAAAAAAGAAGTTACACAAGATACTTAAACTAAAGTCAGAATACAGTTCAAATTTCAAAAGGAACATCGAACTATACTAAAGTGTATATTAATATAATATAAAATTAACTTAAATGTGATCTTAAACTACAGACTCAATAAAAGTTAAGTGACTACAAGTCAAATATATAAAGTATATTTTAAAGGTAACTTTTGTTTAAATCATGGTATCTATGATATTGTTCATACCTTTTATGTACTATCGATTTCGATAGTATTTATAATTTATTATCACCACTTTAATTGAATTGCTTTCTGATAGTTTTTGATACGCAGTTTTGCACCCTTTGCTTCTCCCTCTGGAAGTTTTACGGGAAAAATAAATGGACAAATAAATAGATATATTAGTATGTATATAACTGTTATCACACATTTATATTTACATAAATGATTAATATTATGAACATATGTCGTTGCTGGCCGAGTTCGTTCAGGAGGCATTGTTTTAAACTACACTATTCTTTCACTAAATGACTTATAAGTTCATTGCAGCAACGGGTTACTAATACTAATTATGTATAGTATATGAATAATATATACAAATACAAATGTATAGAAAATGCGCATATTTAATATGCCATGACAAATGAAGAAACAAAGAAATATGAAATATTTGCATAATAATAGCTGAACTAATAGATTGCATTGATTTGTATGATAAAGTTCGTAGCTAAAAAATACGTGTATTTCTAATATATGATATGTGTTATACACACACATACACACCCATATATATATATATATATATATATATATATATATATATATATGTGTGAGACCTAAGGATAGATCGAAATATTGGTTTTCCCCAATTAAGTGTTTCTAAAGTCCATACACGGTATTTTTTTTCCTATATTCTTATATATATATATATATATAATTATATATATAGAATATATATAAAGATAATTGTATATAAGGCACCAATTAAAACAACTGAAAAAACATTTTTTAAGTAAAAATATTACATTATTAACAAACATGGACTTACAATATGGACATATAATATAGAATGCAGCATATGTGTTTATGAATACTGGCAATGATAACTTAATATATAATAGTATATATAGTGTTTTATATATACATGAAATGCTTAACTACAAATTAGTTATTTAATAACCATACAAAAGGCATATTTTTAATATGCAAAGACAAAACATGGAATGGTCAAAAACTTGCGCATAGAAATAAGTATAAACTCTATGTACATTGCATTGAATCGTTTAGAAGAAAGATATAGAAGTTCATAACGCTAAACATACATGGGCAAACCCTCATCTGTATTCGTTCTATGCTGTAATTTAACAATGAACTTCTTTATATTATAAGCGTTATGTATTTTATATTATTTTATTTAATTATATTCAACAAAATTAAAATAAACAACTAAACTAACAGTATTAGTATCTTTATAAAATATCGTTAGTAGCTCTTTTCATTTACGTTGATAACTATTTTATTTTTACAGATTGCAGATATAGGCCTACGCATATACTCACTGCCTATGCTGTAAGGACATAGTACAAAGCGGTCACGTGAGTGTATGCTTGAACTACATATTTATCTAATTCGATGAGGAGTTCCATTGTAAAGTTGTGCAATTCAGCTTTGCTGAGCATAAACGTATACTGGACGGTCGTCGGATTCCTCAACAGTGTTCCGTTTAAACCTTTATTTTGAATCTGAAAGTTTAATAAAGTAGCAACTTTAAAGTCAAAAGAAACTAAATCTTTTCATAGGAACACTGATTTTATTCCATCATTATCACTACATAATTGTTATTATATTTTGTTAGTCCTTTCAGAAATTCATCATTATTATTACACAACTAGTTCCAAACTGCCTCTTGTCTATTAGTCGAGTGTTGCTAATTGGTAATACATTAAACAAAACAAGTTTTACCTTAATATAAAAGAGAAGCAAATGTTGGCAGGGTTTAAATTCGTTAATAATTAGCAATTATTTGCTTTATATGGAAAATTTCTACTAAGATATTGATCAAAACAATTTAATATTGGCTAATACATACATTGCCAAAAACAATATAGTATAAACTTACAATGTCAGTCATTTTAGTTGTGACGGCCGTGATTGAATTACATATATCTTGGAACTGGGTGTCAAAAATATGTAAGGAGTTTTTGTTGACGTCAGCTTCATTGGTCTTCACGTATTGAAGTACATCATAGAATATATTCAGGTCGGCCACGTGAGTAAACAACAAATCTCCCTCCTGTAGATTACGTAAATAATATAACCCATCATTTATGTACTTGTTCATGCGAAATTATATAAACAAAAATAGGAAACGGATCTGTCAATTATATTAACGGTGTACTTTACAACTAAAACAAAAATATCGTGTAAACGCGACACTTTGTATTTCGTTTGTGTTTTAATTGTTATTGAGTACAGGTCATCATGCATGCCAATGTTCTTCCTATTCTTTCAGCAAACTACATTTTTTTTTAGAAACGTTCATGTTTTATGTTGTTAACGTATACTGTCTGTAATAAATTCTGGAAGATCGCCAAAATTAGTGTCTTTGTATTGGTTATTGAAACGGATCAATGAGTTGTTAACAACTTCTAAGGAGATAAAGTCTGTACCAATCACAGTCCACTATGTAACTATATCAAAAGAAGGGTCTGGCAAAAAATAGGCTCAATTGACAAAATTACAATAGGCATATTTAGAGAAATAATACTAATAATAAAAGATAGGGACAACTCGGAACGTGCCGTGCGATTTAAGCACAAAGTACTATTGAATGACGCTAATGAAATTCTACGAATTTGTTTAACGACGATTTACAGTACCATCATCGTGCACGACTTGTGTTGAACGTCAAATACAATAACATTTATTTGTCAACGCTGTAATAGTGTAGTAGTAGTAGTAGTAGTAGTAATAGTGGGGGTGGGTTGGGGGGAGGGTGTATTCATGTAATAAACAAAACCAACCTGTGCATTGTCAGCAACATCAAATGAAAGTTGTGGTAGATATGTGATGTTGACATCGTTGGTGTCAAAGTCCCGTCTACTAAAACGGATCCTTTGCTGTAATAATAATAATAATAATAATAATAATAATAATAATAATAATAATAATAATAATAATAATAATAATGGTAATGATTATATAGTCTAACAATAATATTGATATTGATAATAATAATAGTAATAATAATTAATAATAATAATAGTAATGATAATAAAATAAATAATAATACTAATATTAAATAATGATAATTATAGTAGTAATAATATTAATATTAAATCATGTATGCTACCTCCAGCTGCATCTAACACTTGAAAGTTAATTGTTTTTAGAGGGATAAACGATTTCCAAAAGTGAAAGTATCGCTATTCTACCTTTCATTTTCAAGCTCACTAATATCTCTTTGTCAACGTAAACTAAAATCGTAAGTATTAGGATCTATCATTAATATCTTATTCAGTTGTTTATAACTTAAAAGCTAATTTTTCCAGTCTCAACCTGGAGAATATTACAACAAAAGAACAATTATAACAGAAAATTCTCTATATATGCAATCAGCTTAGCAAGTGAAAAGTTCATTAGAATCCATATTTCCTAAGTTATACATATTTAAGACTAGGCCTATTAAACTTGACTTATATTCCTAGTTAAAATGTTAACTTTAATTCAATGAAAAATTCGAAATTATTAGAATTATACAATTAATAGTACTGATGATGATGATAATTATGATTATGATGATGATGATGATATTGATGATGGTGATGATGATGATGATGATAATAATAATAGTAAAGATGGTGATGATGATAATAATGGAGATGATGATGATGATTAAATAATGACGATGGTGACTATGATGAATACAATGATGATATGAATATAGGGGCCTAAAAGTGATAATGATAACAATGACTACCTGATTTATGATGATATGATGACAATGATCATGATTATATTGTCAACTATTTTATTTTTTTAGAGACTATACTTACGTATTCTAGTTTCACATATTCAGTTTGATTAAATAAGTCCACGATCTTGTTAATAAGATGATGATGCCGCCGAATGACTGCTGTCTCAGACTTGTTGAGGCAGAATATAAGAAACAGAAGGCCTAAAAAAAAACCAATGTACATATTAGTTAGTTATTATGAGTGTCTAAAACTCTTTTGGAGTATAAGGGGTGGCGCCTGCGGAGCCGCGGGAAGGACCCGTCGAGTAGTAAAAACAATTCGTTGAGGAAAACAAAACTTTTGGATTTTTTTTACATATTAGTAGACTCTAAAATCGATTCGAAAAACCTTCAAAACCCCTACATTGTCATAGTTTGCAGAAGATTCTCAAACTGGACCAGTTCCGAGAGGTTTGAGCTCTTCGGGGATCCCCCTTCCCCGCCGTCGGACAAATTATGGTGCCACTCCTGTGCTATATGTAAGAAGTACCAATTAAGTAGGCCTATTCGTTGACAAGTATTCAAAAACTATTGACAACCCGAATATGCCTACAGTACAGTCTTTGCGAGAAAGTTCTTCCGGAAGCAATAGATTGTAAATCGAGGTTATGGTTTAGATGTAAGTCCCATTCTTAAGAAGATTAAAACTGAAGCTACGAGATTACATTTGATTTTTATTTCAAAAATAACTGTGCTTATCAAGCCATCATCAATCGGTGGTATCATGGTCTCATTCCATATTTAATTTAATTGTTTTCAAATTTTTATTTAAAAAAACATAGCCTTATTGAACATATTGAATATCACAATTCTACTGTTCTCTACATGCTTGCTCCTTAGCGCTGATAGCAACTAGTTCACACTTATTCGAAGTGCTTAAGTTACGTGATCATAATTGCATTATCGTCCAATGGTAAACTACAAAATTTCATTATAATTTATTATCATTATCAATTTTAATAATACTTATAATACTATTGATATTATTATTATTATTATTATTATTATTATTATTATTTTACCATTATCAACATATAATTAGGCTTACTAATATTTTTAATTTAATTTTTTATGATATTTATTATTATTATTATTATTATTATTATTATTATTATTATTTCATGGACATGCATCTAACATTTCTGCCATAATGCTTCTTTACAAGATTTAACTTTGAAACTGTCAAATTCTTATTCTACAGAATTAAGCTGATGAAATTTAGTATAATAACTATGTAATAATATATATATATATATATATATATATAAATTTAGTATAATAATTATGTAATAATATATATAAATATATATAAAATAATAATTATAATATAAAATAATATTGTTTATTATTATCATTTATAGGCCTAGGAAAACACTCAAAATGTGTAATAACTTAAGGACATATGAAGATAGTTATAATATGCCCCTATTGTTTATAATAATAATTATTGTAATTATAGGCTATTATAACAATACTATGTTTCTATTTAAATATTAAAAAATAAATATAAACTTACCAATGAATTTAAGCATCATGTTCTGACGGTAAAATTAATATGAGTATATAATTCAGTTGACAAAATAGAAATATTCAAAATTGTTGGTTGATCCAAATCAAGGTGCCTATTAGAATATTTACAGTTTACTTTTTAGTTTTTGACTGTATATTTAAGAAAATTGGAATGATGAATAAGGTGTCCTAGGTCTCCTTTTATGCATTTTATGAGGATTTGAATTTTCAAGAGATAATGATCCTAAATTAGAAGTATTTGTCAACTGACTGCTATTGATGACGTAAGTATCTATTATAGGCTTACAGGGTAGACCGCGCCATTGAGGTTTTGACCTTTTGTATTCTGTCTATCTACCCGCTCATTATTTTAAAATTACATTTATCTATCAGACATTCCATGAACTTTATTTTATTCTTTCGTTTTTTTTGTGAAAATAGTATTTCCCGGAATATTAAGATTCAACAAAAACTAAAATCTATCATCTCAGAACCCATGTATAATTCCATCATCACAACCCTCATTTACCAAGTTTTTAATTCTTACGATGATGATGGTAATGCTAAATTATTATGACAGTGAAAATAATGATGATGATAATAATTAAAAGTATAATAATGATAATGATAGAATTAATTTTCACAATGTCAATAATGGTAATAATAATTATAATGATAATAACACTAATAATAATAATGATAATTATTATTATCATTATTATTATTATTATTATAATGATGATGATAATGACGATGATGATAATAATGATGATTCTCATAATGGTGATAATAATGATGATAAATATGATGATGATGATGACGATGATGATGATTACGACGACAATTGCGATGATGATGATGATGATGATGATGATGATGATGATGACGACGATGATGATGATGATGATGCTGATGATGATGACGATGATGATGATGATGATGGTGATGATAGTAATGGTGAGAATGATGTTGGTGATGATGGTGATGATTATTATAATGATCATTTAATGAAAATTATAATGATGAACAATAATAATATTGATACTGATAAGTATTAAAATAATGATGATAATTATAATTTTAATAAGTATAATAATCAGTGAAAATTATTATTAATAATATTATCTATTTTCATATATGTATGCAACACAGCATCAAGTTCCCTCGCATATTACAGAAAAAAAAACATTTTTAAGCAACCTCATTTTGTGGTAGGAATCCTACAAACATGGTAGAGTCCCAATTGTGTTTATTATACAATACCATCATCATTATTATCATTATGATTATTGTGATATATACTGTAATGTACAGTTATCATACTTGTTTACTAATAATTGTTAACAATGTTTTTATCCCGTATTCACTATTGGCCGAACAGTAATATCTACGTTTTGGGTTTCTATATTTTTACTTTTTTATTTGTAGTTATATTTTACGTAATTTTATCTACTCTCTGTCTTTTTGTTATGCTTATTGCGAAATTATTGTTATCTTTATACATTTTGCTTAATTATAATATAATTGTTTGTCCGATTAATTTGTTTGTTTACGTTCATTACTGTAGTATCGATCAAACATAATCCGACAGTTATTCTGTTAGATGTTTCAGCTTTGAAGTGAGTAGTCTATTACAGTAAGTTTGAAGCAGTTTCCATTTAGGAAGGGAAAAGACGGGCAAAACCCTTATCATTAAAGGCCATTATGGATTAACAAGCTGCTATTTATTTATTTGACATACAAATGGGGCATCTGGCAAGAGAGAAACATGGTTTATCTAATTATAATACAGTGATAATATCCATAGAACATTAACAATTTACCATCCAG